CACTATCACCGAAACCTTTTACTTCGGGAAACCAGTGATAGTCTTACCTCTATTTTCGGATCAATACGATAACGCACAGAGAGTTCATGAAAAAGGGTTTGGTATACGACTCGATGCCTACCAGTGCACTGAAAATGAATTACTCACTGCAATCGACACACTATTAAACGACAGTATATTAAAGCAAAAACTGCAAAATATATCCGAAAGAATACAATCGGATAATAGTATCGCAAAACTGCCCGAAATTATTGAACAATTAGTTGTTAATAACGCAAAATAATACACTTTACGTATGATTCAGTATAATGAATTAAAAAATAATATTTTTGATTGCTATGTTAATGATTAAAATAATCATATTATTAAAAATCTTATAAAATATATTTTTGAGACTCGTTTCGGATTGCTCGCTCAGATATAAAAAGTTTATGCTAAATTGTAATGATTCATAATAATTATTTGTTATTAAAAATTCTACTTAAAACAAATGTGTCATGTTAATTTATATTTTATGTTATATGTTTATGTTGCATGTTGAAAATTCTTTTTATTGTTAAATTATATAAAATATGAGTTGTCAATATTATTTTTAATATGAAAGCTCATTATCTAGTAATGATTTAACCGTAAAAATATTAATCATAATAAAATACAGAATTATATAATTAATATGAATTATGACTAAATTTTAAAATGAATATTTAAAATGTAGAGAATATATTATTTGACATTGATATTATCTTAATACTAATAAGATCAGTAAATATAAGCCAGTCTAATATAAGTAAATTAATATTATTTAAGTAGTTTGTATGAAAAAACAGTACATATTTACATTTTAATCAATATTTCACCTTGGACCCATAGCTGTGGTCAGTATTAAAATTTGACACATTTTGACATAAAACGTGTTTTGATTTGGTTTGTGTACTGATTCTCTCAGATAAATAACTATATATAAGTCAATATACGTGCAAATAGTTGCTAGTTTAATATAACTAATTATATTTGCAATATGGATGTCGACCCAACCGTATATACCCGGGCGAGTGATCTTCAAAGACAATCAGCTGACCAACTCATACGAGACGTCCCGATAAATAGGTTTATATCTAATTTGCTTATAATAATATATCAACTAACCAAGAACCATTTCATATATAAAAATAATACAAAATGAATATAAATAACTATTTTAGGGAATACGATGTAATCGTTGACATCGGCTGCGGGAACGGCTATTTGACGGAACGGTTGGCCAGACATGTCAAACACAATGTGGTGATCGGTGTGGACATCAACCCCACAATGATATCATATGCGCTGAAGAATCACAAAATGGATTCAATTGAGTACTGGACGCAAGACATGAGTGTCTCGTGGGATGAGTTGTGTCCACCACTGAAGGCACTGGAGGCCAGAGTGTC